TCTACATCTGACGGTCCTGTGGTCCCAGCAAACATTTGAGTCCTTCCTGAGTGCAGAGTTCTGCGCTGGAGGCCGGGGGAACTGCATGGCTGTTGTCCTCACATAGCTTACAGTCTAGGAGTCTGTCACCAAGATCTTTAAGTGCTTACTATGTGCCAGACACGTGATGAGCACTGGTCATTAGCAGAAGATACTTTGGTTCCCACGCTCCATCTTCTGTCTGTACCTTTGGGCTGCTTCTCGTTCCCAACCCATTGGGATGGGTGCAGGGTGGCAGCCTCAGGAAGGGGCTCAGGTAGCACAGACCCAGAGCGAAGGCTATCTGGTCCAACCTTTCCCCTCATCCCAATTTGAATGAGGAGAGAACTGAAGCCAAAAGAGAGTTCAACTGACTTGTCCAAGGTCACTAAGCTAGTAGGTGCTGGGGGTGAGAATGAACCAAGGTCCTCCAATCCTATCTAGTATGTTCTCCACCGGCTGCCTCCTAGAGCTGATAAAGGACACGATCCTCCTCTCCCATCCCCACTTTGTCCTTAGGGAGTGCGCTGGGCAGCCCCATGAGATATCTCATCTCCTTGGCTCTCCGACATCCTCTCTGCCCCTCAGGCACCTCAGTAGCTGCACCTGGGCCACTGCCCCTCTTTTAATTCAGACCCTGCTGTTGGACCTCCTTTGGGCATCAGTTATTTTATGCCTTAGGGTGAATGAACTGAACTCGCTGTGCTCCCTACCCTGGATGATTCCTGTTCAAGCTGCATCTCACTGGGGACAACATGAACACTAGCCATGGGTTTGGGTTTATTGCCTCTTCTGAGCCTGAAATGTGGAGCTCTGCCCAAGGGAGCTTTTGACTCATTCTGCATCAGCACAGAGAAAGAAGGGAGATGGTTCAGAGGGTAACCTCCTGCAGAGGGAACAGCAGTGTTCCACAGATGTCAGTCACCCTCTAAGGCACCTCATGTGGTGTTTGAGAAAACAGAGTTTGGGGGTACTGGCTTCAGTGGCCAAAACCACCGCTGAACAGGCCAAAGAGCTCATCCTGGAGCCCTGATTATACAATTGAGAAAAAGCTATGAAAGGTTTCCATGTCCCACAATTTTCTCTGTTTGGTATCTTCTGCTTTTACATTCTTCCAGATCACTCTTCTGGCTATTTCTTTAAGCCTTGCTATGTGCTGGAGAACTGGGCTAAGTGCTATGGAAATGAATACAAGCCAAAAGAAAGACAGTCTCTGCTCTCAAGGAGTTTACATTCTAATGGAGCAGACAAGACAAAAAGAGCAGAAAAGATGGGGGTGGGGGAGGGCAATACCCAAAGGGCCTGGGGGAGTGCATGGTGGTAAAATCCAGAGAATAAAGGATGGGAAGTCTGGGTCTTGCCTCAAAATGGGGTGGGGGGAACTCACCAATGGAAGAAGGGAGTCACAGGGGTAGGAGAAGGCAGCCTAAGCATGGCATACTTCCTAATCTTGTATCAATGATATAACTGTTTTATACATGTCTGTATATGTATTCCATGCCAACTGAGGGCAAATGGAGGACACCAGTGGCTATGTGGAAATACACAGAATTTAACCAGGTCACAGATTTAAATCTCTCACACACTGGAGTTTTTTGGGGGTTTTTTGCTTTGTTTTTCTGTAACTGGCCTCTCCAAGAGCAGTGTGGTGAAAAGGATTTTATACTGATTATTTTTAACCTTTATTTATAAACAACTCTAACAGCAGAGACCAACGGACCCACGTGGATTAAAAGCAATTAGCCTCTAGGCTAAAGAGAGAACTATTGACATTAAAACTGCACAACAATAACTCAATCTGGACAAGATCTAATTGAGTCCCTGTGCTCTTCCTGGGCAGGTGAGTACCTAGAGAGTTGCTGCAGGTCTCACTGAAGAAAGCCTGCAGTGTTCTGAGGGCTTAATATGATTTTTACAATGTCACCTACAAACAGGAGCATCTGGAGAAACTCATTGAGGCAGGTAGGTCTTACACTCAGAGTCAGGAAGACTTGAGTTCAAACTCTGCCATAGACACTAGTTTGTAAACCCTGGGCAAGCCACTTGACATGCTTGCCTCAGTTTCCCCAGCTGTAAAATGGCAATAATAGTAGCACCTGCCTCCCAGAGTTGTTGTGAAGATCAAATGAGATAATATACATAAAGAAAGTGCTTTGCAAACCTCACATTACTATGGTAAATACTTGTTATTATTATCCGTAAAAAGTGCCTTTTCTGACTCTGCTCAGCACATTCTCCAAGGCAATGGCACACTCCTGTGAACATGTGTCTCCCTGACCTGTGTGTACCTCCCTTGGTATTGATGATCGGAGGATCACGAAATGAAGTTACCTTCAGTTTTCTGAAATGTATCTGAGGCATTGTGGGATAGCAGACAGAGAGCTGACCCCAGAGTCAGGATCACAAATGTGGGCACTGTGAATCCTCAAGGGGAAAGCTGCTGTTATCTATAAACCCAGCGGTCAAAGAAAAAGAATTGGGGCCAAACGGAACAACAGCCAATTTCCCCTTTCCTCAAGATCTGAAGGAAGAGGTGCCCAGCTAAAAAGCACAGGGGGCTGCCCCCAAACAAACATTTGCTGAGTGATTTAACAGGAATCCTGGTCCGCCCCACTCCCTGCCCAAAAAAATCCTCGCCATTTCTGAAACCTCCATTGAGCTGGGTCTGTGTTTACCCAAGGGGAGCTGCCGTTTTTTTGCCAGCCATCATTATGGTTTGACAGATACCTTCGAGTATTCTTCTAGTGCAAATCCCTGAGGGAGAACTCAGTGTTTCCACTGAGCAGCCTCGTGTTTGGGCCTGACAAAGGGCTCCTTGCACTCAACAGCCTCGGGTGTGTTGACTGAGCAGCTCAAGTGGCCGTGGAGTCCTGAAGCTGACCTGTCATGCACCTGCCAAGCAGGGGTCACAGATGGAGGTCAAACAGCAAAGGGAGCTCCCATCCTGCCTAATAGATCTGTAGAGAGAAACAAGGACGGGGAGGGAAGGGCCAACCTGGTTTAAAATACAAACCCGTGTAAATAAACACCAACAGATAAACTTCCCCCTTTGTTAGGAGACCTGATCGAAGGCTAAACCTGACGTATGGATGCTCAGGGCAAAGCTGCAGGGAATTCAGGGATTCAAAAGGCTCTCCTTTCTCCTTGCATGACTTTGCTGTCAGTCAGTTTGAATGCACAAGTCACATGTGGTTTTTCTTCATATGCCCTTGTGGAGGACCACAGGCTACTTGATGTATGGAATACTTGGGCATTTGGGGGATGGTGACGCTTAGATTAAGGCTGTCTGTGTCCTAGGGTTAGTCTCAATGGTTAATTAAAAGCAACATAAAATATTTTGTAAAGGACCAGCAGTCAGAAATTGGCACTTTTCTTGATCCAAGTAGAAAAAATAAAGCTTATTCATTTCAGGAATATAAAGTTTTATTTCCACATTTTATCTACCATAAGCACAAAAGAATTATGTTTATCCCAAGGCATTGCTTTCAAAGTAGCATTTCAACAAGTTGTATTTGAACACTCCAGCTCTCTCTGTGACACCGACAGCAGGATTGGAATTGACTTTGGAGCAGTCCGCAGCTAAGCACCTTCTTTTTCCCTCTCCCCATGCCACCCTCCCTCTGCCTCTTCCTTCTCCGGCTTATTTTGTTCCTGAATTCAATTGGGGGTGTTAAAGTTGTTTGGAGGGGAATGTCAGGAGAGCTTGCCATCTTATCTACTTTGGTCCTCTGCAACACTCACTAGCCTGTATCTCCCTCATCTTTTATATTATAGGACCAGAAAGGGCTGGTCTGCTAGGAAGTCTTCCTTTAATTATACTGGATATTAAACCATACATAAAACATCACATGGAGATATATGTTATATTGTTGGTGTTCAGTCGTTTCAGTCATGTCTGACTCTTCATGACCCCATTTTGGGGTTTTGTTGGCAAAAATATTTTGTAGTGGTTTGCCATTTCCTTCTCCAGCTCATTTGACAGATGAGCAAACTGAGGCAAACAGGATTAAGTGACTTGCTCAGGGTCACACAGCTAGTCAGTGTCTGCAGCCCGATCTGAACTCAGGTTTTCCTGACTCCAGGCCTGGTGCTTTACCCACTGCACCCTTGGATGCTTACGTGTGTATATCCATATACATCTATACACATACATATATATTATTCATGGATATATGGAGAATGAGAATCATCTCTAGTGGAATCAACACTTAGTGGAATCAACAGTTTCAAAGTTTTCTGAGGTTTAGAATTGGAAAGTTATCTCATACATCACTTAATCTAGTCCCCTCACTCTGTGATCTGGGTTCAGTCTCAACTTGACTATTTCTTACAGGGGCTATTCTGATCATGTTTCATCTCTGAAAATAGGGAGACACTTCCCTGCCCTTTCCCCCTTCTGCCACTCTTAGGGATGCTATATAATTGAATGTAGCTTTAAGCACCACATCTTAAGAGAAGTACAGAGTAAAACCAAGGAGGTATCATCACTTACTAGGCAGCATTTATGATAAAAGACTAGAAGCTTGAATGTTTTGCTTATGAAATTGTGACGAATTTAACACCTTTGGGAATTAAAAAAAAAGGATGACTTTCTTCTTCTGTCTTATGCTCGGAATGAATTGGAACCTTCAAATAACTTTCATGTAGAATTATCTTTATGTATGTTGTTTGTTACTGCTATCTAGAGAAGAGTAGCAAGTATGCTTTGAATTTCTCCTTTGGGAATATTTAATTTCCATACCCTACTCTATCTATAAAACCTCCAGGACCTAATGGGCCATACGTACAAGGCTGCATATATCCCATCCCAAGCCAAAAATACAGGATATGCATGGAATTCCAGGGTTCTGTTCACGAATTTGAGTTCTACTTAACTGGAAAATAGGTAAGCTAACTGTCAATGAAAGCTATTTGTTTTAATGAGTTTCAAGCTACCCAGTCAAATCTCTCCCACCTAGCAGGACTCCAGACCACACCCAGACTGTAAGCAATGTCATGAATTTCTGCTTTATTCTCAGCATCCATCAGTGTCCATTCATGTGTGCCAATATGGGGCTGCTAAATATAGAAAATGAAAGGATACAAGGATTTGGTGGGGCTTGCCCACCTGAAAGATTTCCAAAACAAGGATTACCAATTTTGAAAGGAAAAATCAACTTGATAAAGACCAAGTTTAATTTAAACACGTTCCCTCCTTTTCTGCAATTCCCAGCAGTAAAAACCTTGTTATTTCAGCAACAGGTTCCAGAATTATCCTTCATTAGTCACATCGTTTGTAATCACAAGGCAGCATCGGTACCAAATGTCCCAAGTCACAAACAGCCAAATGCCTAACATACTTTCATGGCATTGAACGCGACCACCACACAGAGACGGGAGTTGTTTTTTACAAATGTTGTGAAAACCCATTTTTGTCGTTTCGTCTCCTAAGTGACGCTTCTTGTACCCTGAGTTGTTTTATGTGGGCTTGATTCTGAAATGCAAGTACACCACAGACTGCAGGTCAGAGGAAAAATGTCATCTCATCACTTTATAAACCTGTCACCACATTTCAATGTCCGGCTAAGCTTATTGTGAAACCTTTCACAATGCTTCACCCAAGGTCTGAAAACAAAGCAAACCCTCTCAGCACAGCCCAGGTGACTTCAGAAGCTGCATTCCCTGCAGGGCTCTCCATAACAGGACTGAAAACGGGTCATCATTCTTCGAGGTTCCACAGGCCCACGCAGTAGTTTGGCCAGTCTTTGGCTGGGACGCTCCTCCTACTGAACTCAGCCTTTTATTCTGTTTGCAAAACAGACTACCAGTCCTCCTGACACAGCATGGCAGGCAGCTACCTGAAGGTTTCTGTGAATAAATGTTGGAGGAAATTTCTACAAGAAAATTACATTTCTTAAATAGCGAAACCCATAGGTAAGTGGATCAGGAATTCAAAATGCTTGCTAATAGCCTCATGACCCCAAAAGGTCATAAATAAACCACAGCAGGGACTTGTAGTGTGGCATTCACCAGCCTTGGATCAGTCAGACATAATGATTTAATGATCAAAATGATTTTTTGCAATTTGAGTTAGGCCCATGGAAGGCAATGAGCATTACTTCTACCTGTAATGCTGAAAAACATTGGAATGTAATGTTATTTCCCTATTTGGCACAAATGAATTGATAACAAAATTTCCAATCACAATATTCCATTTGATTTAAAAAAAATTTCACTAGAATAAATCACTTTTTGCTATTTGCTTTCTGGCTTCTTAGAAAATTTATCTTGAAAACTACCAAGAAGCAAAGTTAGGTAATGAAACCCAGGAGGAAATAACATTTAGGTCTGGCCTCTCAGCCGTCTTCTCGGAGGGAGCTGGAACGATGGCTGACTTGGGCCCAAGTTTCTGCGCTCAGCTGGATCTACGTGAAGCACAGATGCCCCACCTGGAACCTTCTGACAAAGGCAGACCCCAATGCCAGCCATGTTCACCTTGGAAGCCCGCCCAGCCGGGATGTCAGTAACTGGACAATTATTCCTTCTTCGTGGAGGAAGAAAACCGACTTTGCTGGTGCAGGTGGAATGATGAGCCTCAGCGCCAGCTCTGCGGACCGCCTCCTTTCAAACTGGGGGGGGCTCATCCCACCGCCTCCTGCCCAGGAAGGCTGCGCCCCAGGGGCCAAAGGCGTGACCATATTTCAGAAGGCAGACCTAAAGGTACCACGGGGAAGCGCCCAGCGTTCTCTGGTATGCACTGCCCTGGCAATCGCCAACACTTCAACTTGGGGGATAGCTTAGGGGAGAACGTTTCAATAATTTTTACATTTTGGGGACTTCCATTTTGGAGAATTTATATCAGGAAGGGAAAACTTTGGCCTCTGCGATATTTCATCACAGTGTTTTTGACAACAGAGTATTTAAGGAAATCCGCCTTAATAGTGTTATCAAACTGCTGGGCAAACAGCCCGATCGGCAAATTCCATCCTCGCAGCCTACTTTAAACTCACGGAGAGGAAAAACCAGCGACAACCCTGAAAGTAGAGATGTGCTGCCTGCTGACGGACCTCCCCAGGCCAGCTGCAATGAACAGCACAAAGAGCAGTGTCTTCACTCCAGTCAGTGACCAACTTCACGGCGAGATGACGCGAGCTGTCTTGAACACTCAAAGACTCTACAACTAGAACTCTCTGGCTGGGAATGCACTCCTACCACCTGGCTTTTAATCTGGTCTTCCCTAAAATATTTTTTTTCCCTCAGAATGCTTGAAGTATCTGAACCGTGGGCTCATCCCCTCTAAGCCAACACATAACATTTGTTCCTCCTCTTGTCCGGGCTTCTATAAGAGCTTTGCTGATGCAGCCTCATTACAACAGGGGGAAAGCCCCCCCCCCAGCTGATATTTCCCATCTACAAAAACACAGTTCTTGGGAGTGCCCCTCTTAGTCAAGTCTCAAGGCATCCATTTGAAGGAGGAAAACTGGAAAAAAGAATGACCCAGGCCAAAGAAACCAGACCAACAGAGGAGTGCTCTAAGGACACAGGCCATCTCCCTCTGCAGAGCATCAGGCACTGCACAGGCTCCTGGGACACGGAGAGGGAGGGAGAAAGGTGTTGTGGCCCTCTGTCAGTGAAAGAGGCAGCTTCTCACTGGGGGGGATTTCTCTCAACACAAATGAAGCAAGAGCGATCTTGAAGTTTTTGTTTTTTTTTGCTTTTAAGAAGAGTCCTAGGGAAGAGGCAGGTTTTCTTTATCCTCACTCAAATTCATCATCATTTTGTACGCACACATTGTGTAGACATGTGTACGCACGCACATGTGCACGTATACACAGAGACAGGCGCACGCACGCGCGCACACACACACACACACACACACACACACACCCCCTATACACAGGGAGCGAATCCATATTTCACATTTTACAGGTCTCCTCACTAGCGTTTTTAAAGCCTGTCAACCCCACCCTGGTCTGTCCTCTATTTGGGTGGCTCAGGATTTTGAAACATTTTCAATGAAATCTCAGAGCAGTGAACCTGAAAAATAAATACAAAAGAAAGACCATTTCCCTGGCTGGGCTGGGGAGCTCATTCCACAAGGGAAGGAAGAGGAATCAGAACTTCAGTCCATGGACTCCCCGGTTCGGCAGGGTTCCTCCTCAGCAGCAGCACCACCAGTCCTCCTCATCCTGAGGGGCTCTCGGCCCCCCCCCCCCCCCCAATGTGAAAGTGCTTTCATGTTAACAACTGTTTAAAAAGCAAAGTGCCAAGAACTTCTGGCTGGGATGTTCGATTACCAAATACCAAGTGTATTTCCCACCCCTCAGCAGTTTCCAAAAATAAGTGAACACCACACTGCCGGGAAGGCAGGTCTTTTAAAAATTGTTTTGTTGTTATTTGAAGGGACCAAACTGGGAGGGAAAAAAAGAGGGAGAAATGAGAAGAACCCCTGAGGCAAAAATGGCTTTTTCTTTTCCCAGTCTCCCGGGCCCTCACTCGCGCCTGGCTCACAAGGCTCCAGCCATCTTCTGGGGCGGAAGTCCTTCCTCCATCCAGAGGGAGGCCGCTGAGCTGCTCCACGGCATGCGCCGGTGAATCCGCCGCAGCCGCAGCAAATAGAGCAGAATGGATAAGAGGACGACCAGGAAGCAGGCAGAGAACAAGTAGTGGTTGTAGACGAAGGAGAAGCCTCGCCAGTGAGCGTGGCTGGCCCGGAAGTTCTCCTGCTGGATGTCTCTGCCAAAATGGAGGGAAAAAAACCAGGAATCATCATCAAGGGAAAGAGGAGGGTAAGGTTAAATCACCCAATTAACTTATTCTGTAAAAATCTTAAAGACCTGCAACTCTACCCAGAGTCTGAAAAAAAACCGGCATCGCGAAGCAATGGCCCCAGGGAATCTGAGGAGAGCCCGCAAGAAGCCAACGATGAAGAATCCCACGTCAGGATCAGCACTCACAGTACCAACCAAGCATTTTCTGCTCAGCTCCATAAAAACCAGAACCGGACACTCGGTTTTATTTGAGGCAGAGGGTGAAGAGGGGCGGCAGACTGCAGCAGAAAGTGCGCTACCTGAGGGTCAAGAGGACCCAGAGCGTGTGGACGTGAGGCACTCCACACACCGTCACTCATGAAACATGCTGCTGTCGTCACGACCCCCACAATACCGATCCTCTGGATCACGGGGGTGAGCCTGGGCGAACCCGTGCACATCCTGAGCCTGTGGCTTACTTTTAAAAATGGGCATACTAAAGCTGACATCGCCCTCCTCAAGGGGACGCCCTACAGAGACCGGTAAGCACACTCTCCATTACTACTGCGGTGAAATGTCTCTGCCCAATTTGGGAAGCCTGGGAGAGGCGGAGAAGAAGAGAGTGACTATCGTAACAAGAATTAACAACAATAACACCACCATTTACATAGGACCCACTATGTGCCAGGCTCTGAGCGAAGTGCTCTATGGTTACTATCTCATTGGGTCCTCGAAACGACCCTGGGCGGTGGGTGACATTATTACTCCCATTTTACAGATGAGGAAACTGAAGCAGTGGTAAAGTGACCTCCCCCAGCTGGGGAGTCCCCAGCTAGTTAAGTGTCTAAGGCCAGATCCAAACTGAGGTCCTTCTGACTCCAGGTCCAAGGCTCTTTCTACTGCACCACACAAGCCCAGGAATTTAGACCTTTTTAATCACAGTAACAGCATGTAATCTGAGATTTCCACTCCTGAGCAAAGGGGCCACAGTGGGAAGGGCCCCTGGGGAAATAAAACCAAAGGGATGGTTTGCAGTCTGCTGGCTTTCCTAGTGTTCCAGAACCGTGCTAAGCCCCACTCTGGCAGCTAGGGCTAGAGGTTCAGAACGACAGGCCTTGTTATTCTGGGGAGCGCAGCCTCAGAATGAGGAGACCCAGGCTTAGGGGGTGTGCACCTGACCAAGCTTCAAAGGGTTACAGCAACAGAACATAGACAGTGGAAGAGATTGTTATATCAAAGACTGAACCAGCCAAAAGATGTAGTTTCAAGGCACCAGCAAGGCGAAAGAGGAGCAGAACACAATGAGATTAGGGCATGGAGACCATGGGGGCAGAGTGGGGAGGCCCAAAACCTGAGCCCCCAGGGAATCAGCCTTGGCCCTCAATCCAGAGCGCCAGGGAGGAGCTGGGGGGAGAAGAGCCTGTTTTCCAGGCCCTGGCTCGTGGAATGAAGGCGGCAGCCTCCGCACGGACCCAGACTCCTCTCCGTCACACTGAGGGCTGGAGAAGGTGATCAGGAAGGCCACAAAGGGCAGTCCCTCCCACTCACATCTATACTCATGGAACTAGCAAGCATCAAGCACTTTTGTCAAAAGACCATGCAGGGGAATAAGGGAATAGAAATCCCGTGATAGAAAGTAAGCATTAAACAGAAGGATTTCTGGACCTTGTGAGTCATTCATGGAGAGCAGTGCGGGCGGTGGGAATCAGGAAGCCCTGGGCCCCAGCCCCACCTGCTTGTCTGCTCTGGCAAGGCAGCCTCTCCCCTGGGGCTGGCCCTGTTCCCCTCCGCCATGCTCCCTTGGGATTCCACTGCAAAGGTCAAGTCCAAGGTCATACAACCTTTGTGGCGACGCTGCATCAGTGTCAGCCACACGAAAGCCCTTCAGATACCTGAAGGCAGGCAGCTTCTGTCCCTCAAGCCTTCTCCTCAGCCTTCCTCCCTCCGATCCTCATCTTGTCCCCATCCTGGCTGACTCCTCTCCACGCTTTCTAGCTTATCCAAGTCTTCGCCCTGACCCACTCCCCCAAACCATCCTTCACCTCCTCTCTCTGATGTCGGCACCAGACACGTTTACGCTGTCTTCCCCCAGACGGTAAGCTCTTTGAGGGCAGGGACAGATTTCATGGCTGTCCCTATATTCCCAGCACCTAGCACACTATGTGGCATAGAGCAGATGCATACTAACTCGTGGCTGGTCGACTGTCAGGGATGGCATCTGAACCTGGGTCATTCCCGACTCCTGGGTCTTCTGCACTACACCAGGTTCTAATTAGCAGAAGCTGTCACCAGCTCTCATTTGTGTCAGTGGGAGTGAGCTCTGGGACCACAGAAATAAGTGGTCAGGTGGGGCTGCCCACGGCTCTCCCTGGGGCCACACAGAACAGTGGGGGATGGATGTAGGTTGGTCTAATTACTCAGGGCAGTCAGACAGAAGAAGGAAATCAGGCCACCTCTGATGTGGCTGGAAGCAGAGGTGAATGGTGAAGAGGGGAGGCAGAGAACCCAGGTAAGGTGGGCGGGGGGAGAATGGAGCTGGATTCGGGCTCCTGAGTCTCCCCAGGGTAAGGTGATCTTGGAGGCTTGAGCTGTCCCGGGGCCCAGAACAGATCCCCAGACTAATAAAGCCTGCAGCCCAGCTGATTGGTCAGACTGAGCTCACCCACCTCCCATCCCAAGGGAGGGGGGGTCTGTTGGCAGACGTACTAACTCCTCAGCAAGAGACTGTGGACAGCTAACAGAGAGCTGAGAGCGAGTGGAGAAAGCAACATGACAGGCGCGAGGCAGCTGGCAGGAGGGGAAGGAGTCCGCTGCTCAAGCCTGCCCAGAGCCAGTCACTTACAGACGCATCACGGGGCCGTGCTGGGAACCCGCGATCTTCACATGCTACAATAACGCTTCCCAAGAAACAGCGTTTTCATTGTGTTCTCAACCTAAGGGCAGACAAGCAGTCTTCCCACAACTCAATTAACTGCCCTACCTCAAAGGTAAAAACCGGGTTCTGTAGAGGATTGCTCCCAGCGTCCACTGCACTTCCTTGTCATAAACCTGCAAGGCCGTCTTCAAATTGCTATAATTAACTGGAAATGAGAAGCCTCTGTGAAACACCTCATACATCCAGGCGGATTTAAAGCACTGATACCTACGAGTCAAAAGAATAAACAAGATTAAGTTGGGCTGGTTTATCAGAGACAAGAAACAAGGTGTGAGGAGTCAGGGCACCTCTCTCCCAGGCAGCCAGGCAGGCTCAGAAACCCAAAGGTCTCAAGTTAGCTCTTTTAAACTATGAAATCCAAAGCTCTCTGGACTGTTCACCTGTAAGATGGAGATGTTCTCACTCAGTGGAGTTTAGCAAGTCACCCACCCTAGACAAGCTCCTGCCCGTGTCCTGATGGAGGCTGTCCACAAGTGCATCCCTAGTAAGGGAGCATCCAGCCCTTGTAGAATGCCTCCAATGAGCAGGCCTCACTGCCAACCCGGCCAGGCCCCTCTCATTCCAAGCAATCCTCCTGACGTGGAGGTGAACTGAATCTATCCCCAACATGAAAATGCTTCGCCTGTTTCAACCTGGGCTTCTCTACTCACTTCAGCCTATGAAGGTCAGCATGAGAGGCATACAGCCCCTGGTCGAAGCGTTCCCGCAAGATGGACCACTTGGTTGCACAATAATCCTAAAGAAAAACCATTAGAAAGACTCAGCCAACATTTGCCCCCAAAACCTACGCCATACACCCAGCCTGCCTACCAGCCCTCTGTCCGACGAGCTCGTGGAACTCGGCTAAGGAGCTGCACTGTACGGTATAAAACCAGCCTCTCTGAACTGGGCTTTGGCTCCCTCAGAAGGCCCCAGAAGCCCAGGCTGAACATGAAATGCGCCCTTTCTTGCCTCCTGCTAGGTCCTCCCCTGAGTTTCACAGCCCCTTCCCCACGCACCTGCCCCGGCACAACAGCCCACGCTGGTGGCTGGCTCCCAGAATATGGGGAACAGGCCCTTCTAAAACCCAGTACCTTGGCAGCTTTACTAAACTTAGCAGCATTGTAATCTCCCCCCATTCTTAACACATCTTCAGTGCAATAGTAGAATTCTGAAAAGCCATAGAATTCGCTGTTGTCAAAGTGAATCGGAGGCTGATAGACCCCGCTGAGTGAGGTCTGGGTCTCATTTGTTTTGTTCATGAAAGGCTGCAGAGTCTTCCGGCACAGGGTGAAGTCTCCAGTGCCCCGGAGGTACACGGTCTGCCCGTTCTGCTGAATTTCATCCTGAATGTCTAAGGGTAGGCAAGGGTCCAGATACGGAGCGTCAGAAGTTAGACCTGTCTGCTTACTCAGGAGCCTGTTAAGAAGAAACATCAACGATGAAATCTGCACAATTACAGAAGAGAGTTAAAATTCACATTACACAATGCTCTAAGTCTGACCACAAGCTTTCCTGGAAATGACTGGAATCAATGAATGAAAAAGCATTTATTAAGCATTTACTATGTGCCAGGCACCGTGTGAACATTGTTATCCCCACATATGCAGATGCACATTTGACAGAACAGCCGGTAAAGGAAGGAGCTGGCGTCAATCTAAGAACTCCATGTCCAGTGTTTTGCTACCCCACGCATCAATGACATCGAGTTCATAATTAAGTAATCTAATCTCTGGGCAACTTCAGAGCTGGGCAGCTAACACTGGCAAATCTGGCTCTTCTTACCTCTGCTCCTCATCCCTTCAGGGCACTTATAAATTGTACCGTAAATTGTTAAGAAGTGTTTGCAAATGTTAATCAGCATACTTCACATTACCCTTGGGGTAGGATTTATGGGAGGCCCTGCATAAGCATCACAGACCAAGAAGGGTGGAGGGGTTGCTGTTAGTAATGCTGGAAGGCATGGCCACTTCAAGGAGATCCCCTATCTGGCCAAGTAACAAAGTACAACATTCAGCCCCAAAACAAGACAAACCGTTAGACATCACAGTCTAATTTCAGCTGCCCTACGTCTAAATTAAAGAGTACCACTGGCCCATTCATCACACAAACCAAATCACCTTTTGTGACCTTAAAACAAGACAGTTTTGCCAATACTTCTGAGTACTCTGGATTTCTCTGCCCTTTGTTGGAATGCATCCTTTTCCACAGTTCTGAGTTATCTTAACTAAGCCTATTTGTAATTACAGAATTGTGGAGGACTTAGACTGACTTTCCGCAACATATTTACTACATTGTTAATGAACAGCAATCGAGCTCCATAACCAATAGATAACGCTGGAGGGCTGAAAAGGCCATGTGGTGTGCTCCTGTGTGCTTACGATCACACGGTGTACCTGCCCTAGGGGACTTTAATTACAAGACTCGATGCACAGAAATACAACTGGAGAACGTACCAGAAGGATGCACACGCTGATCTCCCTTTGGGGCGGGACAATGACACAGGGGGCAGAGAACAGAGTACACAGACGACTAGCAGATTAACAACTGCACAGAATTTGACCGTGGCCTGCCTGGTGACCACATGTTGGCCTCTAAACACTGCTACAGACAAATGATGAAGGTGGAGGTTCCGCAGAAATGAAATTACAGTTCTGATACACACACACACACACCCCCTTATATCAATTCTGTTAAGTGAGGTCTCCTCTTTTGTCTGGCTATTTTTTCATGACCACAGAGCCAGGTTCCTGGGTCTGAAGCAAGTGCTGGGCATGGAGTCTCATACCTGTTCTTCAGCATGGTGTTGGCAAATATGCTGTCTTCATACCTCTGCCGGGCTGCATTGCCACCAAAGCCAAGGAAGGTGGCCACATATACTCTATACACATGCTCAGTTCGGTGAACATCACAGCCCAGGTTAAATTCAGCAAGCAAATTTTTAGCTACTTCTTCCTGGAAGCACAAGGATAAAAAAAAAATCTTACCACCAAGCATAACAAACCAAAACAAAGCATCTAATGCTTAGTTTGTTTTTCATTCTTTGCTCTGAAGGAAATATCCCTTTAGAACAAAAGGCTCTCAGGCTGTTTTCCCTCCCCAGGGTGCTGCTTCAGGCTTCATGGTTCACAGAGGTACTGTCCAGCATCAAACGCATGAAGCAGTGCCTCAGGAGCCCTGGCTAGATGCTGCCGGGAATCATGGGCTGAGACAGAGGGGGGGGAGATGTGTGTGTATACATATATCTATATATGCATGCATACACACACACACACACGGGTTTATAGTCTCAAAATGGATAACTCCTGGCGAGGGATGGGGGAGGGCCACCTTGTGACACCTGGATTTCTCTGGCGCCTTTCACTCAGAAGCTCAAAGCATTTTACGGGTTCTGTCTAAGAAAAGATAACCTAAGTCCTCCTCATTAATAGTCAGAGAAATCTAGCCATCAAGCTGTGTAGCAATGCAGCTATAGATCTGAACACAAAAACAGGTTTCCTCATTTCTGGCCAGTGCGCTCTCCAAGCCCCTGCCATTTTGCTGCCTAATGGGAAAACAGCGAGCAGTGACCAAGAGAGCTCCAAAAGACGTAAACAGCGTGGAAAGATGTATACACCACAAACTGAGACATTCTCAAGCCCCGATGCAAACCCTAAGTCTTTTCTGAGAAAACAAGAAGTTGTCTAAGGCACAACCAATACAAGTCTTTCCCATTCATATTATTGGATTAAATTTGTCATGACTTGCTTTATTATGGCATTTGAAAAAAAAAAAAAAAGCTTTATAGTACCTGTTCAAAAAAATATAACTGAAGGCAAAAAACAAAGAAAAAAAAACCAAGACCCCCAAAACCCAAACCAAGTATTCTTTGACATCTCTAAGTAAAGGGCTAATCAAGGTTAGCAAAACAAACCAGCTGACTTCAATGACCAAACCCAAACAGCTTAGCTGAGATGTGCCTCGTTCTCCTCCCGTCTCCTTTCTCCTGGTTTGGGGAGGTAGTACCCCAATAAGCACAGTAATGATGCTTTAAGACTCAGAAAACAAAACAAAAATGGATGGAGACATGTTAAATGAAAAATCAAACCAAACAGAAGGAAATCTGTACAGATAATAACCTGCTGTGAGGAGGCAAAGCTTACACTTTTGGGGACTTCATACGCTATCTGGGTAGACACTCCGCCCATGTCCAGAATACCCGCTGTCCTTTTGCGGACAATAGCCGCTTGGCTCTCGCCCCCAGGAACGTTCACTTCCACCACTGCCTCGTCCTCTGGAAAACAGGCAGGAGACCTTCCTTGGGACAAACTATCCCTTGGACCTGAGGTCTTCTCAAGAGACCCATTTTGTAGTCGTGATTAATTGAAAGCAGATTTAGTCAAATCAGCCTACAGATAAAGTCAAACCTCTTTTACAATTCACTTTAATTTAGTTAGTTAAATAACAACTTGACTCCTATATAGAAATGTACCAAGAAGTTTATTTGTAAAAACTGGGTCAGAAGTTTAACTAAAACAAATTCCAACTCCAAATTAAAAAAAAAACAACAAAAACAAAAAAACCAACTTTTTTTTTTATTAAATAGAAATCATTATAATTTCCCAACCAACAGACCTATTGCTTTAATCATTTCGGCTCTCCCACTTACCATCTTCAATGTGCTCAAATCGCCCGAGGACAAAGTTAATGCCAATCCAAGCATAGACACCTAGGGACATAGGAGAAAGAACAATGACCAAAGTTTACAAACGTGTGTCGTGGTAAAGTTCTATCTGCAGGACAGATATTGTATCCTATCTTAATCTGCACAAACACACGGTCTAGAAGCACTTTCAGTAAGACCATGAATTTTGTTCTTGAATCAAACTGTGATGGAGTCCCCTGGCGGGCACCGTGGAGGAGGCAAGAAAAGCTGCCCCCTCCAGCCCTCGTTTGCAGCAGCCTTATAGCACAAGGGACCAGGAAGATTCGGGCTCAGTGCCTGCCTGAACACTTACTAGCGACATGATCATGGGTAAACCTCCTGAGCGCTTCGAGCCTCTGCTTCTCATCTATAAAACGGGGATGTGATACTGGAAGGCCCCGACTTCACAGGGCAGCTCAAACAAGGTGATGTATTCTGCAAGTTTGCAAGGTATTGTGCAAGCTTTAAAGCATTACATGAATGCCAGTCATCTCACCGGCAGAGGAGTTAAGCAAATGAAAAAGAAAACAGAACTTGGGATGACACTAAAGACAACCCAAAACAACCCCCTGTGGCAGTGCCTGAGGGGCCTGGCATCAAACACCCAAGAAGCCCTCCTTCCACAACGCTCCTGCCTAGTCTGTCTGGAGTGACAGGGGTCCACTTAATCAGACACACTGTCCTAATGGATTACCATTCCCTCAGGACTTGAAGGCAATGGGCTTTGGGGAATGGGGGAGCTGTAGCCCCTCTAAAGCTCAGTGAGTGGTCATCACTCATCATTGGCGGTCAGCCTCTCCAGGGTCAGATGCCTTCACCGAAAGGCAGCAGGAGCTGGTCCTCTGCTAATGGTCAGGCCTAGGCAGGCCTGCTGCTGTCTGTCACTGGGCCTGGCCTCCAAACCCTTCTAACCTCTCAGAAACTGGTCCAGCTTGGTAAATTCAGGGTCCCCTCCACACCACGATGAAGCATTGGCGTAACAGACATTAAGAGAACTAAGGAATAATTACAATTAAGTTTTTAAAAAATCTGAACAGGCTGCTGTTTTTATCACATTTTTCCCTTCAAGCACTTTACTTCCTTCATATACAAATTCAGAAAAATATTTGTTCTTTATGTTCAAAATTCTATTTTCTTTCAAAACTAACATGAGTGGGGAAAGGGAGGGAGAAATGGAAGATGTGGAGGGAGGGAGGCACTGGTCATAGTGTTGCTAAGAGAAAAAGAAAAGAAAAAGAGGGTCATTGAAGCACTTTTAAAAAGCACAGAAGAGAACAGAACAAGTTCAAAAGGAAACACCGGCAAACGAGACAGCTTTGAAAGTTACACGGCAAAGCTCCGTGTTCTCTTAAAGCAAGAGGTGCACAACACAGCTGGGCGGTTTTACACATCATTCTCTAGTTCTGTTCTAACTTTCTACATGGCAATGTTCTCTGTCTCTGGTGTTTGTTCAATTCAGGATACAAAGAGAAATGTGGCTTTGTGAACCTTTGGTTCTGAAAGGGAGAAGACAGATGGGAAAACACAGTAATTATGACCTTAAATGTCAACGTGGAGGCACTCTGAGGGGTTAAAAGAACAAATTAAAATTGCGGCCATAAACAATCTATGACATAGCCACAAACTGACCCTTCAGCCACCCTTCTGTCAAACCCTCTGGCTTCTGTTAAGAGGTCTACAAAATATGCTATTATTTCATATTAAAAGCGTTCACTGTTCCATTTTATTCTAATGTGCAATTTTTCCTAATTCTCTGAAAATGGCTGTTACTGTTCCAATGACCCAGCTTCTCCCCTGGAGCTCAGAGAACCTTCCAGAAGCTACCAGGGAGGCTCCAGACAGAAGGCCTGTGATAACTGTCCATCATCAGTCCGGAGAGCTGTAGTTTATTCCTCTGTTCAAATCGACCTGAAATAGATTTCCTAAGTGGCTCCTGTGGTGAAACAAACTAAGTGTTTCCCAGGACTGAGTGTCTGGGTAATGTGATGGTTCATCTGGCTACAGTAAAAGTGTCTGTTGGGAAGGAGGCAGTGGTTTCCCCAATATTAAAATGTGGATGGTGACATTCGGGGGCTACCATAAAGAGTAAGCGTGCTGAGCGTGGAGCTGCCCAAACCTCACGCTGCTGATGACACAAAGCGATTGTGGAGTTGATCCAACACTGACCTTCTTGTTTCCCTGAAATAACCTCGGCATGCGAGTCAGAGAACAGAAAGTCAAAGTGTGCTGGGACGTCCGTCAGAAGATCTTCCAATATGGCTTTCTGCTGACTGAAAAGAGAAGCCGGATAATGCCATAAGAGAAAACACGGGTTCAGGGCACATCCCACCCAAAATACCCACAGCATCTCAGAAAGGTCCATGAGACCAGCCCCTGCCTTCATCCGAGACCCCTGAGGGAGGAAAAGTCCACTGCTCACCCTGAAGGGCAGCTCCCCTCACACAGGGTTCCCTTAACTCTGATGTTTCTGCTCTGTGATTTTCACCCATCACTCCTAGGCCTGTCCTGGGGCCAAACAGAACAAATCTAAACCCTTTCCATGAGATCACCCTTCAAATACTTGAAGACTGCTAACATTTCCCCTCCAGAAAGTTATCAAGACAACCCTCAAATCTTCGCCAGCATGAACATCTTTAGTCCCTTCAATGTCGTGGTTGTTCTCCATCTTAAACTAAAATTCAGGACCCGGAACTAAACAGAACAATCTAGATCAAAGGTTCTAAAAGTGAATACTGATAGTTAAAAACAATCCAATTTAATGCTCTTTAAGATGAGAGTTTTTAGGTTGATTTGGGGGTACTATAGTCCCCCCATATAGTATATGTCACTATAGTACCAGTCAGAAATATAGTATCAAAATTTCCCAGAGCTAAAGCAGGCAAAAGGTGAATTTTTAATTTCTTCCTCCACAAACTAAAATAAAAGACTCTCCCTCCCCACCCTTTATTTAACATCTGTCCCTCTGAGACTGAGGGACACTGAGAATGCAAGCATTTCCCATGAACTTATTATTATTATTATTATTGGTGAGGCAATTGGGGTTATGTGACTTGCCCAGAGTCACACAGCTAGTGAGTATTATGTGTCTGAGGCCAGATTTGAACTCAGGTCCTCCTGACTCCAAGGCTGGTGCTCTATCTACTGCACCACCTAGCTGCCCCTTCCCATGAACCTATAAAAAATATTTTTACTCCCCTCTCCTTCCCCAACACACACACTGACAGTTACCTTTCCGGAAGGATTCTCATCCCGGCTGTACAGAGGATATAGAGAGGGGTCTCTTTATGTTTCGCCCGTGGCACATGTTCTGCAGCAAAACTCAGAAGTGGGGAAATATAATCACTGACTTTTTCTGGAGAGGTGGCAAATTCAGATATGCCTGGAGAAACAGAGAACATCAGTGAGCAGCAGAAATTCCAGCTGAGAGGGTCTACTCCTTTGGTATGGCTGTCCTGCAAGATTCCCAGACAGGCTCATCTTGCTAACATTCTGGCTGCAAAAAGCCATTTCTTTATAGGCATCACTTAGAATCCCAGAGCAGGCAGCCAGGTGGTACTGGAGTGCACAGAGCATCAGGCCTGAAGTCAGGAAGACGCCTCTTCCTGAGTTCAAATCTGGCCTCAGACACTTACTAGCCATATCACTTCACCCTGTTTGCCTCATTTTCCTCATCTGTAAAATGAGCTGGAGAAGAAAATGGCAAACTACTCCAGTATCTCCACCAAGAAAATTCCACATGGAGTTATAAAGAGTCAGACACAACCAAAAACAACCAAACATCACCACCGCCAATGAGGACGACAACATCACAGCGTCAAAACCAGAAACGACGTCTGAAACAGTTTCGTCCAAAACCCTTGTCGTACAAATGAGAAAAGAGGCCTCGTGTGACTTGCCCATGGTCACAGCCAGTTGTCCCAAACAGGGAATACAACTATAGCCCTGCCTGCAGGCCACTGAAGTATCTACTAGATCATACCCCCTCCAAGCCTGGTGGCTGCCGTCAGAGAGCCAACGACACCAGAGAAGTGCTAGGATGCTCTGGTCTGGAGGTTTGGGCTCCAGGGACTCTAGGAAAATATCCCTAAAGGTTTGAGCTATGCCAAAGGGGAATGAGCTGGCTCAGGAGCACGGGGCTTTCCCCTCACTTAAAGACTTCACGCCAAGGCTGCACGGCCCCTTTTGGTGAGCATCTTGTAGAATGGATTCAAGACGCAGGGCGGACCAAAGGACATGTGAGATCCTTTTAACCAAGATTCAGAACTGTAAGAACCTTATGGACTCAGGCAAACAACCTAAGGGAGATTTTTTTAAATGTCTAAATCAGAAACAGGTTCTGCCTAGAAATTAACTAGCGCTTCTCTGGCTGCTGAGGGATAAGCTGGAACTGATGTCAGCCCTTGATTTGTTCTGTTAGTAAGGGAACACGCTGCCTTTCTGACAGAACAAAAGTCCTATTACCTCTTACTCCTCCAATCCCAGGAGACAGAATCCCATATTCCTTACTCGGCTACTGCTTGCCATCTCTGCTGGACGTTCCCCAGGGCCCTGTCCAGACACTCAGCAAACCTTCCTCTTTGACATTCCAGGGATGGCACCCAATTCAGAGTCCAGGGGCAGCTATCTATTGGACACCTGACCACGCTCTGTATTTTTTTTTCCCTTCAGTCATTTGTTGGGTATATTACAACGAGGATTCCTTTCCTGTATGGGTTGGGCTGGATGGCCGTCGAGGGCCCTTCCAAACCTCTAATTCTATGGATCTACGAAGCCTGGATTATCACAATAGTCTCCCAACTGGCCTGCCAGTTTCCACTCTTTCTCCCTTTCCAATCTATTTTCCACAGCTGTCAAAGTGACATCCCTTAGGCAAGTATCTGACCAGGTCATTTCCCCCTCCCCACTAAACTCCAGTGGCCTCCCTACTCCTTCTGGGATCAAGTACAAACTTCTCCATTCCACACCCGAAGTCCTTCACCACACGGCTCCAGTTTAGTTTCTTGCCCCTCCCGCAATCTACAGTAATTTTACTGTAACAGAAACCAGAGCACATGAGGCCACTATGATCACAAGGGTCTCTTTTGTTAAGAGTGGATTCTGAAGGCAGCCTGCAGCGAAGAGAAGCTCTAAATTCTCATCTCTTAGGACGACCACATGCAGGCCACTGCTCACTCACACCAAGGACATTTGTCTGGGCAGAGGCAGAAAGGAGGACAATTAAAAAGTGACAATGATGCCTATGTACAAGCAGTCGTTTTACACGGTGACCTCCCTTCTCCTCAGCAGGAACAAGGGTGCTGAGCAGGGACTTCTGAATCCCTGACAACAGGTTCCAGTGTTTAGTTCTGGTAGTGACTGCACTGGCTGGTCAGGGGGATAGGAGAGAACTAGAAAAAATTTCCAAAAACAAGAAATCAGCCATCGGGCATCTGCCCTCTGTGGAAGTGTGCATCAAGGGACACAATGAATTTGAGGCCAAGAAGTCTGCTGCCCGAGTGAGCCACAACAGAAAGGCAAGGCCTCCCTCCTTACCAGGGATGTGGCCATTGAGCATCGGAATGAGGCAGAACTGAGCCTTATCCCGTCCCATTGCACTGGGGCCTCAGACGGAGCCACAGCTGGCAAAATTCAGAGGAAGTGAGGAGCCCTCCTTCCTCACCCTACGTCTGTCTCAGACTCTGAAGGGGTAAGGGGAGCAAGGAGTGGGACCATGGGGACCCGGCTGCAGCAGGGTACGGTTGAAACTATAAATAAAGGCTAAATACCTTCCCCTCCTCTATCCTTTGTGGAAAAAAGTGAATGGAGAACATGTTCATGTGTTCCATTACATTCTTAGACCTCAAAGCATTTGCATCCTGATATAAAGAGTTTGAAGATTAATTCAAGGCAGGATGTGAAACCAGGGCAGGTCTGGATCTCTGGGCCAAAGGCGGAAACAGCAATGAAAGCAGAAAAGGAGGAGAAACATGTCAGACTTAGGCAAGAGGGACCTTTTCTTCTGTTTTTTTCTTAAAGCCAAGAAGAGGGAAAGGCCTTAGTCTCCCGCTGCATAGGAGGACCTGTGACTTCCACAAAAGGAGGTTTGCGATACACGTTCCAGCAGTAACAGGAGGCATGATTAGCAGGCAGGCTGTTAATACCTTAGAATCACTGCATAGGCTTTCTCCAGAAGCCCTGAGCATCACTCAGGGAAAATACTATTTGTGGCCTTGCCTGAAGCAGCGCCAGGGGGCTAAAAGTGAGTGTGTGTGGGCGAGGAAATCTGGCTTCCAATCCACTTTCAGCCTCAACACACACCACTGGCCTTCACAAACAACACTCCATCTCCTCAGAAGAGGCCCCGGCTTCCTCCTTTCCTGGGACAAGCCGCGCCACGGGGCCTCTGCCATAGAATGCCCCTGCATTTACTTTGTATCTAGTTACACAGGGAGGTTTGTATGCTGTCTGAGGCAGGCACTGTTTCATTTCTGTCTCTGTACCCCAGGGCCGGGTATACAGTAGGTGCTTTAATAAATGCCGGTGGTTACAAAGTGATTTTTATATGTAAATGCTGGGGCAGCTAGGTGGCGCAGTGGACAGAGCACCGGTTGTGGAGTCAGGAGGACCTCACGCACTTGATCTTTACTGGTTGTGTGATCCTGGGCACGTCACTTAACCCTGATTATCTCACAGAAAGAAAAAAAAAAAAGGAAATGTTGACTGTCTAGCCTCTCTTCACACACCTCTGATAGAAGGGAATAACCGAATGCCCTTTTATGCAGTTGAGAGGATGCAAAGTAGGCCTCAGATCCAGAACACCTGGGTTCAAGTTCTGCTCTCCTGGTCAGGGAACCAGCAGCAAGTCCTTCGGTCACTCCGCGGGGGCCTGCATTGCTAGAGTTTTCTTTTCTTTTCTTTTTTGGTGAGGCAATCAGGGTTAAGTGACTTGCCCAGGGTCACACAGCTGGTTAAGTGTCATATGTCTGAGACTGGATTTGAACTCAGGTCCTCCTGACTGCAGGTCTATCCACTGCGCTACCTAGCTGCCCCTAGAGTTTTCTTAAAAAGAAGTTCCCTATGGTAATGAAATCGCAGCGCCAGCACCCATCTTATTACGTAATCAACATTCAACAGCAAATTTGCGAGGTTTGGGCTTATAAACTTGCTTGGATAGTTTTAAGTGAAGATGGTTTAAATGATGTAGGATAAAAACAGAAAATTGCTTTCCACTTTAAAGAACCAACCTATGGTCAAAATAAAATAAACAGTGACGTTATACAGTGGATGAAGCACATTTTAATTCTTACATATCATCTAACTTGGACAAGATCAATTTTTTTGCAAGATAGAAACACGTACATCTGCTTTCCTAGGCTCTCAGGTCAATCATATCATATGGTTAACAACAGATTTGATCACAAAGACATTCATCACCCATCTCTTACACCCCAAATAAAATGACAAATGTTTGCTAGGATCAGATTAAAGCATCTGAAATTTCCATTCGTCATTAACAATGGGGACAGATAACAAAACAGCAAAATACTCCGATAATTTATCAACCAACAGATGTAGACTGGCCACGACTAAATAGCAGGCATCATGCTAAAGAGTGTGGGAGAAAACAAACCAAGGGCATGCCAGAGGCCTCGTTCTCTGTGGATTAATAATTTAGAAGGGAGTGAGACAGACACATGAGAGGACGGCTCAGAAACCTAAGCGAGGGTGGGACAAGCAGGTGCCCAATGAGAGGTCCAACAGGCCTAAAGAGGTTAGCGCTGCTGCTGCTGTATTACTTTGGCATGTCAGGGACTGCAGAGCTGGGTGGCAAGAAGGACCTCCTTGTCAAAGAGGGGAGCTAGAGTTGGGCCTGGCGGATGAGCTTGGCATCACCCAGAGAGAAGCAGCAACGGGAATGCAGGTCTGGACAGGATATGTTCAAAGGATAGTCAGCAGACTAGCCTGCCTGAAACACAGGGTTTATGCAGAGGAGGAGGAGGAAGAACTAAGCTTGGAAAGCCAGGCCGGGGAGAACTGGTGTAAGGACTTGAACGTCAGGTCAGGGACCTTATTCTCTATGGTAGAATCCCTGAAGGTTTTGGGAAGAGCCTCTATTTTTCATTTTCCTGAAGTCTTGAAACTGAGGGAACTTGAACGGAGGAAGAGGGGAAGGGCAGACGCACTAGTGAAGACTCTGAGAAGGCTAGCAAGGGAGCTAAAGGTCATGAGCAGAGAAAAAGAGGGACGCAGACCCTTCTCCCCTGGGACTCCTTGAGCAGAAAGGTGGGGAAGAAGCAAATGGCTCAGAGCACTATCAGGGGAAGTTCTGTGTTCTACTGGAAAACTCTGAACTACCTGCTCTAGTCACTGAGGCACAAAAGCTCTGCAGGAAAACAACGCTTCAGGAAGATGAGTGTCCCACCGGTGTGCACAAGCACCTGCCTGGGGGGAGAACGGAGGAGCCGGTGAGGAGACCGCAGGCGCTCAGCGCCTGAATCTGCACGCTTAGGCGAGATGGAAAAGACAAAGGCGTTACAAAAGAACCAACGCGACATTCACCCCCCACACACCTGGTTTTATTTTCATGACCACCGGCTTCCGGTTTTTGTCCCTCATTTGTCTGATATCCAACAGATCGTGAGGATTGCCGTTGTGCCGGGGCCAGCAATAGACAAAAATCCGAGATCCGCTGCTGCCGCAGTCCACCACGATGCCATAATTGATGTGGGGGTTGTTGGTGTCAGTAGCTTCGATGTCTGTCACTCGGGCCAGATACCTAGCAGGAGAAAATCAACGGGTGCTTGCGATCTGGAACGCTATGCCTTAAATCCAGTAAAGAATATTCTATCAATAGCAGTCATTATGCCCAATGAACTTTTAAGCTGTGTAATAATTATCACTATCACATTTTATACTACTTGTCAAATAATTCAAGTCGACAGAAAAGAAAACAAGGAATGGTGATGACCCTCTAAACCAGATGTGTCGCTCCTAAAAAAAACTGGCCTTGACCACTTGAAGTTCAAAAAAATAAAAGTTCTTGCTTTTAAAGGTGGTAAAATATCAACTTTAATTAAAAAAACAGCACGGCCACAGTTGAAGTCTGGTTTAAATGATCCCTCCAAGAGATCTTGTTGGCATGAACTGGGCCTGCAGACGACATAATAACGTGTTTAGGATCGTCACCCTTTCCTGGGCCCAGCTGGCTCATTAAGGAATCCAAGGGATGCCCTATACTGAACTCAAACCCCTTTTTAGTCATGAAGTGAGATCCTTCCAGCCCACTGTGAAGGTTCTCACCTGTGAAACTTCTTATCCCGGGACAAGCGCCCATACTTATGTCGGATTATGATGACAGAGAAATACAACAAGGAAACGGCAGCGGCCAGGATGCCGACGACCACAATCTGGCGTAGGTTGGTGTTCAGAATTCTAGGGCACCCCACTGGGGAGATGCTAAAATGCCAGGACGCGGGAAACAGGCAGGAGACGCTGATCCTGAAATTCGGAGAGCACACAGGTCAAAGCCTCTCTCAGCACCCAAAGGTGCCATTCCATTAGGGCACTGTCACATTTTCAGAATGTTTTAGGATATTCTAAATTTGACAAAACACTGACAAACATGAACATTCCCACGTACGAAAAAATGAAAAGGGACAGTCTCTGAAATTGCTCCTCTCTGTTACACACAGCCTGTATTTTTAGAAACAACGTAATAAATTCAGCACGTTAGTTCAAAGGTGTCCTGCTTGCCCACAGTTCTCTCGGACATTTGTTCTGTGTTCTTCTGGGCCTTTAATAAAATACTCCAATGACATTCTTATTTCTCGTCTTCTTTTGCTGCATCACTCTTCCTAACCACCCTCTCTGCCTCAATCTCACCCCCCCCCCCGTAACAAATAAGCCCAGTCTCCTCTCTGCCACGAGGTGGGGGGAGGCTTCACGCTCAGTCCTCCTCAGTCGCGGTCAGTCAGAGCTTTCATCAGAGCTTTCAAAGTTCTTTTTCCTGTATAATATTGTAGTCATCGTATAAATCGTTCTCCTGCTTCTGCTCACTTGCTCTGCAACGGCTTACACAAATCTTCCCAAGTTTCTCTGAATCCACACCATGTTATTTCTTATAGCACACTAATATTTCATCACATTCAGATATCACAACTTGTTAAATCATCCCTCAATTGATGGTCACTCCTTTAGTTTACAACTCTTTGTGACAATAAAAAATGACGCCATGAATAGTATTGTACATATGGCTTCATATTTGTTTTTTTTTTAAACATTCACTAAGATACCCTCATATTGAAATATTTTTGTCCCATCTTTATACAAGGATATTGAGGCGAAGAAAAAAGCATAATTACTCATGGCCATACCATGAATCAACAGATGGAATAAAAATTCTAGAACTCTTATTTAGTTCCGGAGATAAAAATAACATCCATGCCAAAGTCATTGTTAATATAAAAAATAATACCAACTCCTGTATCTCCTCTGTAAACATTATTTTCTGGTATCTCACATATATGGAAACTTTCCTGTTAAATGAATGGTTCTCCACCTGTGGGCTGAAGATCTCTGGAAGCCCAGAAATCCACATCCTCATCACAGAGAGTTATCTGAATCTTCAGCTCCATCAACCTATGCAGCATGACTCAGTACAGAATTAAAATATGTATTACAATAATATAACCTATATAGGAAGGAAGCAAGCATTTATTAAGTGCCTACTACATGCCAGGCTATGCTACATGCTTAACAAATATGATCTCTCTTGATCTTCACAACCTTGGGAGGTAGGTGCTGTAACTGTCCCCATTTTACAGTTGAGGAAACTGAGGCAGAAAGAGGTGAGGTGACTTGTTCTCCCAGTTGTCACACAGGTAGTAACTGTCTGAGGTCAAATTTGAATTCTGGTCTCCCTGACTCCAGGCCCAGCACTCTATCCACCAGGCTACCTTCCTGCCTCTATGAAAAGGTGTTGTGATAAACACTACTATATAGGTGATATTGTGATCATGCAAAAGCATTGTGGAATTTAGCAGTGTAAGGCATGTAGGCTCTGAGGATCCCCAGCCCAACTCCGCTTCTCCCCGATGAGTCTCAGGTCCCACAGTAAAGCTGCATCTCCCTCTAAGAGTTCTAGGGGCACTCCTGGGGACCTGGGGGTGATTCTCTAAGATGATCAGTTCTAGCCCTCCTCAATGGTTCTCCCCAATATTACCCCTTGAGAATCGATTCAATCAGCCAGCCATGAACAGCTTTTAGAGAGGAATGTGTCCTAAGAGGGTACAGTGAGAACATGTGATACAAATATTGCCCCAATGTCCGTGACACGCTCTCCTCCCGTAAGGACACACAGAGGTCCAGGGAAAGTGGGCTCAAGCTGAGAGAGAGAATGGGGAGGAAGGGAGGTGACTGAGTAAATCAATTAACCCAGCCTTAAGCAGCATTTTTGGCAATAGGTATTTTCCTAAATAAACACATATCACCAGTATAACTATTATCAACCAGAATTTTAGCACCTTCAAGTGAGTTTTTCGTTTTGTCTCTGTATCCCCAACACCAAGCATAGGGCTTTGCACATAGTGGATTCTGAATAAATGGTTTTTTTTTATTTTTTGGACCTGAGGAAAAGAGGAAGGGAGAAGTATGGTGGGCTAAGCCTGAAGCTGGCTTGATCCAACAGGTTCAAGGTTTTAATTTCTTTTGTTTAAAATACAATAAGCACTTGTGAACCATAAAAGAACATTTAAAACTACTTCAGGAACTGAAATTTAACAAGATAAGATACAAGAATGAAAAGGATGTAAAAATACATTGTCCAAAATCCGCCTGCTCATCATTTCTTATAGTACAATAGTATTCCATTACATTCATATACTTGCTCAGCCATACATGAATGTAATGGAATAGTACTGTTCCATTAGAAATGATGAGCAGGCAGACTTCAGAAAAACCTGGAAAGACTTGTATGGACTGATGCTGAGTGAAGTGAGCAGAACCAGGAGAACATTGTACACAGTAACAGCCACGTTGTGTGATGACTAACTTTGATAGACTTAGCTCTTTTCAGTAATATAATGATCTAAAACAATTCCAAAAGACTCATGATAGAAAATGCTATCCACATCCAGAGAAAGAACTAGGGAGTCTGAATGCAGATCGAAGCATACTATTTTTTCTTTTTTTCTTTCTTGTGGTTTTTCCCTTTTGTTCTGATTCTTCTTTCAAAAGATGACTGATGTGGAAATATGTTTAACATGACTGTACATGTATAACCTATATCAGATTGCTTGCCATCTCGGGGAGGGGAGGGGAGGGGAGAGAGGAGAGAGGGAGAAAAAAATTTGGAACTCAAAATCTTATAAAAGTGAACGTTGAAAACTATCTTTACATGTAATTGGAAAAAAGTAACATACTATTAAGTGGGGAAAAAAATAAAAAATGAAAGGAAACAAAATAAATAAATAAATAATCCTTCCTAGTCAAGAAAATATTTCTGACAACTTTCCAACCCTTAGGCCAATCCTTTTATAATTCAGACACACAGGATAAGAGCACCAGGAGCGGCTGAGCCATTGGGCAGGGCAGGATAGGCACAGTGGATAAAAACAACCCACCAAAGGGTCCACTAGAAGAAGGGAAGGGATTGTGCAAGGTTTTCCTCTTCTTTACTTCCATTCTCTTTCTTTAGGGGCTTCTTGTTCATTCTTCAGAGAGTTGTAGACGGCTACCACATGGCCATTCCCTGACAGCTAGAGTGGGCCCCTTTCTTATCACTCTGGTTTGTTACACCCTTTGGTGACACCAGCCCCACTGGGCTTGGAGAAGCCCCCAGAAGATGGTCCTACTGCCATGCAATCTTACTCCTAGTGTCTAGCTGACATAACTCACGCTACAAACTTGTGACCTATTCCAATGGAGAACGACACCAAGCCCTGGTGTCAGGCACTTACCTCCCCATGCTGAGATGAGCAGTAGGAGTAATCAAATTAAGGTTCTTGGTCTCAGTCGTTTCAATACACTGTTACAAAATCAGCTGGGTACCCAAAGAGCCAAAGCCTTCCTGTTCCTGGAGATGAGATGAGAGAGATGACACAGTCAAAGCCCCCTTCCACACCCCTGATCACGTATTTGCCACAATTCACGATAATGCACTACAGCTAAAGGAGAAGGTGTCTGGAGCAGCCCACTGCTGACTGGGTCACACCCCCAGGCAGAGGTGCAGCCTGCAGAGATGTGCAGCAAAAGGATAAAGCCTTCCAGGCCCGAGTTTGGTGTGTCCTAACCCAAAGAATTTTGAACAGCAGCAGGTAATCGGAAGGTGATTCAAGGGGGCACCACAGGGCACAGAGTGTTGGGCCTGGACTCACGAAGATCTGAGACAGACACTCAGCCTCAGACACTTGGTAGCTGTGTGACCCTGGGCAAATCCCTTAGCCACTGACTGCCTCAGTTTCCTCATCTGTAAAATGGGGATACATAATAGCACTTACCTCCCAGGGTGGCTGTGAGAATCAAATGAAATAATAATCGTAAAGCACTTAGCACAGTGCCCGGCACATAACAAATGCCACAAAAATGTTGTTATTACTACTATTGTTATTGGCAGTTGTTTAGAAAGCTAGACAAGGACATCATTCAAAGCACCAGAATACCTTGCTACTGAAACTTAAGGGAGAACTTAAGGAGGAAGAATATTTATCTCAAATTCAGAAAAAAAAAATTAAGAGACTCATGTTGGTCTTAGGCACTCATGACAGATGAAAAAAATTCCCACCGATCAGTTAGTTCACTTACTATTAATCAACTAACCATACGATACACCATGAAACCTAATACATAGGACCCGGTGCTCGGCTCTCAACTCCAGGAAAACCGTGCTGATTACGTTGCTACTTAACTGAACCTAAGTGTGTTTCCAATGACAGCCACATCTGACTGACTGCTGCCAGCGCCAGCCACTGGTGCCCAATGTACCTCTCAGGCATAGCAGAGGAAGGCTATCTGTAAAAGCACAGAAAGAGATAAGCAGCCCTAACGGAGTATCTGGCATTCCTAAGTTAGTAGCTCATGATTATTATACTGTGTTATATTATACTGTGCTAACCACAAAACACCCCACTTGGAAGCACAGGTTCTCTGCTCCTCAGAGGAAGTAAAGGCCATTTCTGATGTCTGTATCCTCAGCACCAGACTAGAGATAGGAAGTCAACAAAAGAAAATGTGACAGATCCGTGCTCAGAGTGACAATCTACGTGGGGAGGCAAGGCTGACATTTAACAAATCAAACCACAAGCAATGATGAAGCACATTTAAGTGCCAGGTACTGTGCGATTTGCTGGGGATACCTAATCAAAAACAATGAAACAATCTGCTCTCAACAATAGATCAGCACAGAGAGAAGCAGATGCAGGATCAATAGATACAGAATACATCCTGGTAGCTGGAGGGGAGGTGTAAGCAGCTGTGGGGATCTGGAAAGGCTTCAAGGAGAAGGCGGGTCTTGGGCTGAGTTCTGAAGAGTGACTCTGTGAAGTGGAGGTAAGGAAGGAGTGCATTCCAGGTATGGTGGGAACCAGGACAAGGGCATGGAGACAAGAGCTGGAGTGCTTCGGGGGAGCAGCTGAGAGAAGGCTGATCTGGCTGCGCCACAGCGTGTAGGAGGCAGCGCCATGTATAATGAGGAAGAAAAGCTAGTATGAGACCAGACTGTGATGAGGCTGAAAAGTCAAACACAAGGGTCTGTTCGTTTACATGTTAACTTGGAGGCAACGGGGAACCAGGGGAGCTTTCTGAGTAGGACAGAGACTGCCCAGGTGTAACAACAAAACCCCCAATGCCATCATTTTTGTGAGTCAGACCACTAAGGAGAAGGCATCCAGCCTTGTAATTCCTCTATGTCCCTGACCTGCCTGACCGCCAAGCCAGAGTGGCAGTACGTGACTAAGCCTGTGGCCAAAGTCAATCTTGCATCTCCAGTTTCTCATGGGAAAAATAGGCCCCCTCCATGTGCCACTTCAAACTCAGGACCCCCAGACTCAACTCTCCTTGGTCCCTCCACCATGTCTGCCAAAGGCAGCATCATTCTCTACAAGAGCACAGTTTTATTTCTAAAGCCCCCACAGAGGTGCAGGCCACTGTTTTCACTAACAGTCTCCTAGGTGCTGGTCACCCCACACCCTGTCATCAATGTGCACACCACAGCTAGGTGCATCTTCCTAAAACATTTCCATCATCACATGATTCACCAGCTCGAGAACCTGAAACTACTCCTTAATGCTTAGGGGGCAGAGCTAAGTTTATTCACTTGGCATCTAAAGCCTTCCCAACTGGCCTGTTTTTCTATCTTCCTGCTACTGTCCTATGCCACCAGGAGGCCACACTCCTTGCCACCTCCCATGCATGCCCTTCTCCCTTTAGTAAACACTATTCTCTTGAATCTAAAATGCCACCATTACCCTGCCTCCTCTTTCCCTTCTGCCAGCCCAATCCGACACTTCTTTCAAGGTCCAGATCGATATTTACCTCTCCCAAGAAATCATTTCTGCTCATGGGCCTGCCTGCTACAGCAGCATTTGTTATCTGTTTTGCTTCTTTTGTGACTCTCACCACCGGGGCCCCAGGGGTACGTACACTTTCTAGAACAGGTGCTCCATAACTTCCTGCTGAATTAAATAACAAGCATGTGGTTTCCTATATATTAATCTGCACATGGTTAACCACCTAGGAGGCATGTGAATACAAAATCAGGCAGCTTCAGAAAATCCCATTTCATTTTATAATTCAGTCAATTCAATAACCGGGAATAGCACACATGACAATAACAGAGAAAATTCAAGATAGAATAGACATGATCCTTTCAAAGTTTTTCAAGGCTGAAAAATTTTTATTTTCATTAAATTGAGCAAAGTACATTAAAAGACAACAATGTAAGATGAAACAAGAAGTGAGATTCTTGAAAAGGGAATATGTTAACCTCCAGATTATCTTCTAACATGGAAATTTCTTAATTACAAAACTTCTCCTTTCAAAACACTTTCACTGTACAATATTCTGCACTCTGCAATTTCAATCAGTTCAAATATGCCAAAAAGAAACCTGTGGCCATTAAGCACAACAAAAACATTCCTCAAATCTCCAATTTCTATTATGGCTTTCATGCGTTTAAAAATTATTTTTATATGAACTTATAACAAAAATCCTACCTCCACACCTGCAAAAAATCAGGGGATGTTAGGCCGAAGTCAACAATCTGCTCAGTTGTGCTGTGAACATTTTCAGCCATCACTTCCCACTCTGGGCTCTCCCTGCACTGGACATGCCAACGTGTAAGAGAAAGGGAAGATCCAGGCAGCGGTGACATCATCTGGCTGGCTGGGGTAAAAAGCCAGCAGCCAAGGGAGGCAAGAGTTGGTAGTATGGACGAAGACTTACCCTACCAGGGGCAGCTTGGGTCTAGCTTTGTGGCAGTGGGAAAAGCAAGGTCATCCTGGTGCAAGGATGAGGCCTGGACTGGAAGTCAGGAGACCAGGGTTCTAGTACTAGCTTTGTCATCAAATTTGGAAACTTCCCTCTCCCTTCTGGGTAACAGTTTTCTTAGCTGGAAAATGAGGATGGCTTGGATTATATGACCGGTAAGATTACTCCCTTCAGAGGAAGCAGTGTGGAGTATTGGGAAAAGCACTGGCCCGGGAGGCAAGGAGGCACATTTTTTAAGGCAGTTTGCAAGAGCTTCAAACAGAGAGAGAAACATGAAAAGGTGCCTGGGTTGGAGAAATTACACCTCCCTGGGGACAATATAAAGCCTGCAAATACAAATATTTGGGGAGGGGAGGGCACTAATAAGGAAGGTGATCAAGGAGCTTCCAGCAGGAAAGGACACCTGAGCTAGGCTTTGAAGGCAAAGCCGGGGCATCAAGAAGCAGCAGCAGAAGAGGGCTGCATTTTGCACACGAGCACCTGCCTGTGCACAGGCCAGGAGAGAGAAGAAGGAATGCCGGGCACACTAAGAACGCAGAGTACATGAAACGTCTATCCTTTCAAAATCTATTTGAAGACTACATCTTGGATAGTGATGCAATGTGATAAAGTCATATTAATTAATAACTGTAAAACATATGAGAGGGAGCCAGCCCATGCAGGTACTTAGACACCAAGCTGAGGATTTGGGATTTGAAAATAGAGGCACCTGGGAGCTAGTGAAGACTTCTGAACAGAAAGGTACAGTCAGCACTGCATTTCCAAAGCATCAATCCAGCATCTGCCCAGTGGCAGATGCCGTACATGTAGAAGGGAGAACGGAAGCACGGAGACCTGTTAGGAAACAATTAAAACAGTCCACCGGAGCCAGAGGTGAGGGATGCCTGAGTGAGGGTGGTGGCTGTGTCAATGGAAAAAAAAAATGACAGGTGCAGGAGACTTTGTGATCAACCCGACCTGACAACTAAATGGTCACACAGGGTGAAGGAGCGGGAGGGGACAAGGGAAGTCTGACATCAGTGCCACAATCCTTGGCAACTGAAAAGATGATGGCGTCCTTAACCAGACAGGTAAGTCCAGAAACGGTGAAGCTTTTTAGGGAAACGTGAAGCCTGTTTCTGACGTTCTAAATCTGAGATACCTCTGGGGCACTGAAGTGAAGGTACTGAGCAGGCAGGTGGCAAGATGAGACTAGTTCCCAAGGGAGATTTGGGCTCGGTACACAGATCTGGGAGTCATCCACATGAAGCTGCCAAGACCAAGAGCACGAGTCCAGAGAGAGAAAGCCAAGCTTCACTGGCAGGAGAAGGATGACGACCAAGGAAAGGAGAGCAAGGCACATTCAAACAGCCAGAGCAACGTCACAACAGTCACCAGGAAGAAAGAGTGGTCAATGGCGTCACACCACAAGGGTCAAGGGGTATGAAGACTTAGAAGTCTACCGCTCCTAGCTGGTAAAATATCGCTGGTCACCTTGGAGAGGAGTCTGAGCCCCGGCTCACCACGAACTTGACAGAATCATGTTAGCTCTTCTGGGTCAGTGTCCTCATCTGGAAAATGAGGGGGTTGGAGCAATTCTAAATCTGCTACCAGTTCTCACTTTCTATGATTCCAAATAATAGGATTTTACTTTCTTTTTTTTTTTTTTAGGTTATACATGTGCAATTATGTAAAACATTTCCACATCAGTCATTTTGTACAAGACTTGCACAAAAGAAAAATAATTAAGGAAAGTGAAAAATCGCCTGCATTCAATCAATACCAGGACTTTACTTTCTATTACTGAGCAAGTCTCCGTTTATTGGAAGAAGCACCAGTCTTATAATTAAAAGATCTGAGTTGGAGGCTGAGCATTCATAGGAGTCGTGTGAACCGGAGTGTAATCTAACCTCCCTGAGCCTCATGCCAGTCACGATTATTACTATTATTATTTCTTCATGAATCAAATGGAGAAAATAACACTAATATTGCTATCTCACAGGGCTGTTGTAAGGAAAGTGCCCTGTAAACCAATATGAGTTACTATTACTTTAGAAAAACCAAGGGAAATGGATTCCTTGAAGCTACCCCAGGGCTGAAAAACATAATAATCCCTACACTGTGTTATGGAGTCACTGGGAAGGAAATTCTTTTTTAAATCTTAACGTGTTAAAGACATATTACAATACCATGATGCCTCTCCATTGTATATATATTTTTAATAACTGCTGGTGATTAAATTTCCTCTGGCAAAGAAAGTCTTTCATTAGGGAACATCCTTTTCCCGTGGCTCTTTGCTTAGCAGGGGCAGCCAAGTGGTGCAGTGGTCTGGAGAGAGAAAGACTCATCCCCCTGAATTCAAATGTGGCCCCAGACACTGACTAGTTGTGTGACCCTGGGCAAGTCAAATAACCCTGTTTCCTCAGTTTCCCGATCTGTAAAACGAGCAAATGCTTGGGGAACTGAAATGAACGTTCTCATCTGTAAAACGAGGCCATCAGATTAAACAATCTCCACAGTCTGACTGCATTGCAGGACGGCGGATGGAAAACAGGCCTAGGAGTTAGGAAGCCCTGGGTTCAAATTCTACTGGACACACACCAGTTAAGTGAGCAGGGCCCACCTCCCTCGATAGTGGTTCCATGACTAGGAAACTGCCCGATCCCATCGGAGAGCTACTGGGGGACTCCGGGAAGGCCATGCAGCCTCGCTGGATCTCAGTTTCCTCATCTGTAAAATGGGGGTGATGATGATACCTGCATGCCTTACCTCAGCAGGGCCCCTAAGAAGGAAACACTCCCAAACCTAACAAGGGGGGAGTCAGCTGGCGTGCCGGATTTAGAGCCAGGAAGACCCGAGTTCAAATCCTGCTGGGGCCCGGCCAGGCGCTCCCAGCGCTCCCCGCGCTCCCCGGCTCAGCTCCCTGCCCTCCCAGGGCTGGTCTCGGGCCGGTCGCGGCCCGGCCAAAGCAGCGCCCCGGATGGCGGGCCTCCCGGGGCCGGGCCGGGCCGGGCCGGGCCGCGCCGCCCCCCGCAGGCCGCCGGACTCCTGACGGACGGACGGACGGACGGACGGACGTTACGCCGCAGCCCCCTCCCGGCCCGCCCGCGGCCTCACCTGCAGGGTCGCCCCGCCTCCGCCGCCGCGGCAGGGCCCCCGGGAGCAGGGCGCAGCGGGCCGGCGCATCGCGGCCCCGGGCGGCTCCGAGGGCAGCGCCGGGAACCGCCTCCCCTCCCGCCCGCGGCTGCGCTTCCGGAGCCGGCGCCGAGCTCCTCCGCTCCGCAGGAGACAGCCGCGGGCCGAGGGCGCCTTTGGCTCGGCGTCGGCGCTACGTCACGGCGCCACGTCACGGCGCAGCATGCGCACGCACGCACGTAAGCAAGCGAGGGGGCGGGGCCGAGGCGGCGCGCGGCCCCGGATTGGGAGGAGACGCTGCCGTCTGGAGGCGGGGAGGTGTGGGGGCGGGGCCGCCGGGCGGGGGGGCGGGACCTTGCCTGGGGGCGGGGCCTAGAGGTAATAGGGGAGGGCCTCGGGCCTCCTCTGCCACGTGGGCTCTACTGGTGCTGCCCTGCGGCGAGCATTGTTTTAGAGCCCAAAATGACAGGCTCCCTGGAGAGCCAGCGTGGCGTGGGAGATGGAGGCCAGCAAGGTGACCTTGGGCTAGTCACCGGTGCCTAGGCAGAGGAGCGGCAGCTGATCTGCGTTGGAGGAGGACGTCTCCATGCTGGGGCTTTCCACCCCAACCCCACAGCTTTGACCCTTTAAAAATTAAAGGATATTAAGAGCCCGCGGGGCGAATAATGTTCTATTTGGAGAGACCTGGTTACCAGAGGGCTTGCGATCTGCAATGGAGGAGGGAGCTTTCTACACCAAGCCTGGGTTTGATCGCGCGAAAAAGAGCCACCAGCGTGCCCGATAATCCACAGGCTTTCTAGCTATGGGGTCTAGCCCCTTTATCTTACTGATAGGGGAGGGAGGACCAGAGTCACAGCATGTGAGGCAGGATTTGAATGCAGGTCCTCTGACTAGATGCCTCTAAGGTCACTTAGCTTAGTGCCTGGCACTTAGCAGACGTTTTATAAATGTTTATTGACTGACCATTATAAGGGGTGTGTATGCGCTGCCCCCGTAGGCTTTGTGTGCACACATGGGTCTCTCTAGTCACAAAGACATACCCCTTCCATCCACCCTTTTCCAGAAGGAGACTGGTTCCTGCCGATCTGGACAACCTCTGGCTCCAACCCTCCCATGCAAGAGGTTGGGGCAGAGAGATGGAATAATATCTATCCGCCTCACCTCGATATTATTAGTCGAGGGGTTCAAACCAAGGTCCAGATAGCAACCCCTTCAACTGGCCAAGTGTCAAAGACTCCACGGAGATTAGCAGATAAAGACATGACCCCGTTTATACAATCTGATAGCAAACAGAAACCAGAAAAGTTAAACAAATGAGAACACGCCCGACAATACACAGGGTGAAGGCGTTTCTCTCGTTGGCAGTGAAACATCTTAGTTCAACCAAGGGAGAATCTCAGATCTCACCCATGGAGAGATTCCCTGAAGTCTACAGTGAAGCGAGCAGAAGACTGAGACAGAATTGAGGGGAGGTTCCCCTACAAGTTGGCTCCTTCCCAGAGAGTTTCCCTTCAGGGAGCTAAAGAGAGTCTGGAAGCACTCTTTCTTAAATCTCAAAGCTGGGAAGAGCAAGTTAGGATCTTCTCTCTAGAACCCCTTAACTCCGCCCCTTATGCAAGTCTGGAATATTGTCATCAATCTCCACCAATGAGAAGAGTCTTACACAAATAATCTTTAAGACAGGTTCAACTCTCATTTTGTAAAACTGTAGGAGCCCATCAACTGGGGAATGGCCCAACTGTAGCCTATGAAGATAGGTAGATATTATTAAACTGTGGGAAAGGAGAAATATGGGAAATTCAGGGAAGCCTGGGAAGACTTGTATGAACAGATGCAGAATGAAGTAGACAGAACCAGGAGGGCAATACCCTAGATGACCACCAAAATGTAAATAAAAGCAATGCTAACAAACTCAGATTAACTGCAATCACCAATATCAATCCCAGAGAACAAATAATGAAGCATGCTCCATCCTCTGAAGAAAGAGGTAGGAAGAATGGTGCAAAGGCTGTCAGATGAAGGTGTTTCTGAGTCAGTTCTGCCTGTTTTGATGAAATGATCACCGTACAAAAAGGGACCGGACCCATGATGTCCTTGGTTCAGGGGACTCCTGGGTGAAGAAACTCCCTCTAACAGGGAGTTCCAACTTCTAATTTTAGAGCATCTGCCTAAAAAAGCAAAAGGCATCATAAAACTTTGAAGAAGACCAAGATGAACTGATTTCCTGTCATTTGTAAACAGTTTCTGTATTTGTTATTATCATTTCCTGGTGTACCTCCCAAGAGGGCTGCTTAGCCATGGGTCACCTCGGATTGAGAATTTATCCCTTGCAGGCTGGGGTCCGGGGCTGGGCCTCAGTGCCTGTCCCCCGACTGCAGCCAGACAGTCTGTCGCCAGGCTTGTAATTCCATCATGTAGAACTTGCCAGAGCTTGTGGGGCTGATGGGAGAGCCCACAGTCTAGACTAATGTTACCATGTCATGCTGAGGCATGGGGGTAAGGCTTAAAACCACCCAAAGGGCAGCTGTGTGTTGATTTTGGAGATCAGGGTAAGGGGAAAACAAGACTTGCATTATTTATGGATGGATAATAACTAAGCTGGGTAGTGATGAAGCTAGGCAAAGGAGGAGAGGTGGTGGCCATGATAATCCAGGAGGGAACACTATCGAGCCAAGTCCCTGATGAGATTTCTGAAAAATTAGAGGGGTATGTGGGAGGGGTGGGTCACCTGTTACCTGCCACAGACATAACCAGAGCAGGGTGGCCAGGACTGAGAGCCCTCGGACTTCTTCATCAAGGAGGAGAAACTGAGCTGAGCATTTACTGTGCAAGAATGATTTACTAAAATAGAAAGTAAACAGATACAATTCATGAAGTGCTCATATTATTCAAATTTGCTTGAAAATTTCCACTGGGCTAAAACCAACGACTATCTTTCACGTAATTATAACTTCAACAGTATGAGTTAGAATACTTGCCACCACCTATCAGGATTCACTGTTTGATGGAGAAGGGCAGGGGGGTACTAGCAGCTAGGGGCATTGATGAGCTTTTAGATCCATTAGATTGTAAGCTCCTTGAGGGCAGGGACTGTCTTTTACCTCTTTTTGTACCCCCACCCCCACCCCTCATCCCCACACTTGGCACAATGCTTAGTGCATAATAGGTGATTCGTAAATGTTGATTGATTGATTGCAGAAAACAAATGTTGTAGAGGTGCTAACATTTGCAGCACCAGTGGGACTCAGTACCCTCTGCAGTCCCTTCACGCTAACATTCTAGGAGGGATTTCAGGATCATGTTTATTTCCTTAGGCCTGAGGAGCATCTGCAGGGATTGGCAAGGTCAGTCACATCAGGGGTACTGGCCAGTCAGCAGGTACTGAACCTCCAAATCTCACTTTCTGTTTTATCACCATTCTCAGTTACTTGGGATGCCTCATTTTGCCTTCTCAGGGTTTGAACTTGTGGTGACTGGGAGCCCAACGTGGGCAGCCTCAGGCTTGCGCACCATGAAGTCATCTGTCCTGGCTCTGGGGGCAGAAGCCAGGAGAACAGTCTGATCTGATTACAGAAGGGGGAACCCATTGGCCCACACCCAGTCCCATGAGCAAACTTGTTGTGAGAATGGCGATTATTATGGCCACAAAAGTGACACAGCTCACTGTGTTTGTGTAACGTGGGTCTGCATGGAGCTCTGAGCACTTTACAAGTGGTCTTAGTCAGGGGCTTCGAATTCCTGAGGCACGGAGGGGGCCCAGGGAAGCTGTCCTGTTTTACAGAGGGGAGGAGTGGGGCTGAGGCTGCGGTAAAGAGACTTGTACAGAGGGACAGCCGAGTCTTCCAAGCACCAACTCTGCCTTCACCTTGCTAGAATTCCAGTTTGTCTGGAAAAAAGAGCCAAAAAGCCATATTTGAAGGGCTCAAATCAGATGTGAGTTTGTTCGTAGGTTCATAGGCCTAGGGCTAGGAAAAACTTGATAGTGGCTGCCTAGTTCAGCCTCCCCAGTTTACGTATGGGGAAACTGAGGACCAGACAAGTGAAGTAACTGATGTTGGGTTAGTCCCTTCCCTCTCTAATAGACGGTGCAGTGGTTAGAGCACTGGACATGGAGTCAGGAAACCTGACTGCAAATCTGGCCTCAGATGCTCACCAGTTTGTGACCCTGGGCAAGTCACTTAACCTCTCTGCCTCCATATGTGCAAAGTGAGGATCATCATGGCACCTGCCCCTAATCTTCTTGTGAGGGGACAAAATGAGGTAATATTTACAAATCTTAGAGTGCTGTGTAAACACTATTTATCATCACTGTCATTATTAGCATTCCTCTGTAAGACTGTTTGAGTGGACTAGAGCCTTGTAGAGTCTCTCTCTTCTGACTCCAATATTCTATGATTTGATGACTAGTTAACTCTATGTTCATTCATGCATTTATTCATTGAGCTATCTATCTATGGCCCTTCCAACTTCAAAGTCCCACGAGTCTTGTGAATTGGTCATCTATACTGCCTACAGCTCTGAGGCTAACGTGACATCTGTTGGTTTTGGATTGGGGTCCCTTTAAATCAAGGAGCCACCTGGGTAATCCCTACCAAGTGTGCAGGCAGGCTAAGAGTAGGAGAAAGGTCAGTTGGAATGACCTCGAGGGCAGGCCAGCACATCTGGACCACATTCTATGCATGGCTAGGTATAAGGTTGTTCACTGATGCTGGTGATCTCAATGAGACCAGTCATTTTGTCATGGAAGAACCAGAGTTTGCTGGGGGGGGGGGGGACCCTGGAGATCATCTATCTAATCAAACCCTCTTATCTCACAAATAGGGAATGAAATCCCAAAAAGGATAAGTGACCTGATGGCCAGGGGCAGGGCCATGAACCTCTCTTTAAGGAGGAGGCTCAGCACTGTTTTTCTCCCCATTTTCCACCAGCTATGTTACTCTTGGACTTCTTTCAAATTCTCCATCATGTCTCCCACTCTGGGCACCTAACTTCCTTGGCTGCAGAGGCTTGACTGCCTGTCCAGTATCTGAACATTCCAACCTTTTTCAGGAAGCAAAACATGT